TGTGACATGTTGTGATCACCATAAGTATTATTGTATTGTTGTGCTCACCCAAAGTACTATTGTATTGTTGTGCCTAGTCATCTAGGAAAGTATTAGTAAAAGGTTGTGCAAAATAATTAGTTATGAGCTTCTGTGGTCACCAAAAGTACTATCGTACTTTTGTGCTCACCCAAAGTACTATCGTACTGTTGTGTCCAGTTATCTAGGAAAGTATAGACAATAACCACTGCTGAAAAAGATCATTTTGGAGATGTCCCTCAAGATCATTTTTTTAAGATTAGGAAGTGAGGATAACATGAATGGGTAATTGGGTTATTTGTTTTTTGAAATATATATAATTAAAGATTACAATATTGTGGGTTGAAAACCTTATGTGCTCACCAAGCTCCCAAGTTTGACCTATTGAGTTTCTTTGTATCATATGTAATGGTACGAAGGTTAAGTGATATTGATGTTGAATCTATCGAGAGATTTATGGAATTTTAGGTCCTTTAATGTAAGGCATATAAAGAATTGTTTATGCTTATGTTTCTATATCGATTACGACATCCCAAGCTTTTGAACATTAATGAAAAATGTTTCTTCGGAAACGATTTTATCTCACATTTTTGTTATGGAACAAAATTCCACTTTTATAAAGAATACTATGTTTAAAATAAGAATAATGAAAAAGTTTTTAACTGGTCATAAAATTGGGGATCCCATAATGCACCGCCTTCCCCTCATTGTGTCTAGTAATCGGAAAACCAGCTTAGCCGATAACCACCACCACCAGTAACCTCTGGAGACCACCACCGCTACCTCTTCACCGAAATAACATTATCATTATTCAAATCTAGAAAATATGCTAACCCAAAAATCCATTCAACTCATAAATCCATTCAAGAGATCAAATCCATTTAATAAATAAAACACTTAATTAACACGCATACATATACACACACATAGGCACAAAACCATAAATTTTGGTTATATCTTCGCCGAAATATGTAGAAGAAACCCCATATGCAACAAATAAAATTTATATAGTAGCTTCGGTTTCTTCTGATTTGAAGCTTAATCGAGTTGACCTGGACTCAATTCAGTCTAACAAGAGCATGGCCATGGCTGAGTCTACATGATTTCAGATAATTTGAACCCTAATCAACCAAGAGGATTTTATAGAATGTAATGACAATGAGAAGACGATAGAGAAGGTTGTGGGGGTTATGTTGAGCGTTAGGTTCCAAAACTCTATTGTTTCAGAAGGAGGTAGATGTTGAGGTGGGGGTTTGGTCGGAAACAACCAAGGCTGCAAGGTAGTGACATGCTTAGGGTTGTTGTGGTCGTCAAACGCCGAGCGTGAAATACCACTGGTTGCTCACATGAAGATGCGGTGGTTATCAAGAATTGATGTATGGAATGGTGGTGGTGGTGGTGATGTACGACACCGACGATATCTAGGGAAGAATACAGATTACAAATTCGAGAATGGAATAAGGAAAGCTGGAAAGGTAAACATAAAGGGCTTGTGGGGTGGGGGTGGTTTATTTACTTATTTACAGGGGCGGTTTTAGTAGGTGTCCCGGTGTGGCAGTGACAACACTTATTTTTTATGTCTGTAATGGAAATTTTTTCGATTTTTCAATTTTTTTTACTTATTTTCCTACATCTGCAATACCTATTTCAACCTCAACAACACATATTTTATAGGGGTGTGCATCAAACCGCACAAACCGCATAAACCGCCCACACCGCACCAAACCGCACCGCATAATGCGGTTTAGATCTTTTGTGGTGCGGTTTGCGGTTCGTAATTTCGATAAACCGCACTATATGGTGCGGTTAGCGGTTTTTAGTTTCAAAACTACGGTTCAAACCGCACCGCATATATATATATATATATATATATATATATATATATATATATATATATATATATATATATATATATATATATATATATATATATATATCGATAACAGTTCGATTTTATCAATAAACCTTATGTAATAGTAAGATTATGCGAGTAACTAAACTGTAGTAGTTCATTAAACGTGGATTCTTCAACAAACCACAATTTACATTAGCTCTTGGTAAATTACATTAGCATTTACAAAGAAATTATGTTATAACTTCACCTCATGAATAAATATATTAGTTGTAAGATGTTGCGATATAATATGTTGAAGAAGATGTATAAAGATTTGACAGTATTAAGCAATAACCATAGATATATATGTTCAAAAATATTACAATATAGTATATCTTTAATAAAATATAAAATTTTAATTTAGATCAAACGTTTGAAAATAGATTCAAAGTTTAACAACAAATCAAATTGCAAAAACCGCACTGAAACCGCAAAACCGCCCGCAACAATCCGCACCGCAAACCACGGTTTACACCTTTCGCGGTGCGGTTCGTGGTTTCCAAAAATCTCAAACCGCATATGCGGTGCGGTCTGCGGTTTTGACTGTAAACCGCACCGCGAACACCCCTAATATTATATATTCGTGCGTCCGTCGCTAACTATTTAATATATTTAATAATTAAAATAATTATAAAAGAAATCAAAAAATATTATTTATGGTAAAATGGTCATTTCAACTCGATTAGGAACCAAATTCAAATACAAGAATAATCCAAATTAAAAAAAAAAAATGTTAGAGACCACGTACCATTAAATGTAATCTACCCAAAAAAAAATTAAAAATAAAATAAAAAGTCTCCGGACCGGTAGTATGAAAAAATGAATTTGTATTCTATGGCACTGACGTCGTCAGTGACTTCATAATCTTTCCCTTTCTTCTACATTGCGAGAATCACACCAAGCTTTCAGTGCTTTGCAACCTTTTAACCTTCAGTATAGTATTTAAAACTAATTAGGGTTTAAGAAAACTGAGATCAACAGACAATAATGGCGACGGTGATTCCAAAAGTGAAATTAGGTTCGCAAGGTTTAGTTGTTTCACTACAGGGATTAGGATGTATGGGTATGTCAGGTAACTACGGACTCCCAAAACCCGAAGCCGATATGATCAAGCTCATCCACCACGCCATTGACTCCGGTGTCACCTTCCTTGACACCTCCGACGTCTACGGTCCACACACCAACGAAATCCTCGTAGGCAAGGTAAGTAACGAAATTCTCGATTGATCGATCAAAATTGTTACCTACAGTTTTAGTCTTTATCTTAATTTCGAGGTATGTGATGTTGTTCAGGCTTTGAAAGGAGGAGGACTAAGAGAGAAAGTTCAAATCGCTACCAAATTTGCAATCCGACATGTCGATGGAAAGATGGACGTGTGTGGTGATCCGGCTTATGTCCGATCAGCTTGTGAAGCTAGCTTGAAGAGACTTGATATTGATTGTATCGATCTCTACTATGTCCACCGAATCGATATCCGTGTCCCAATCGAAGTCACGGTTTGTCTCTCTTCCATTTCTCTGTGTTCGAATTTGGGTAAAATAAAACCCATATCAAGTTCGAGCTTTTATTAACACTATCTGTATGTGACAAACTGGAATAAAAAGATGGGAGAGCTGAAGAAACTAGTAGAGGAAGGAAAAGTAAAGTATGTAGGATTATCAGAAGCATCCGCTTCAACAATTAGAAGGGCTCATGCTGTTCATCCATTAACAGCTGTACAGAATGAATGGTCTATATGGTCAAGAGATTTGGAGGAGGATATCGTTCCTACATGCAGGTGATCTTTATGTTCTTTTAGGATAATCTGAGTTGCTTTCTAATTGAACGATAATGATCTGAATCTTTTTTTTTTAAAGAGAACTTGGCATTGGGATTGTTCCTTATAGTCCTATTGGAAGGGGATTCTTGGCTATTGGTCCTAAATTGGCTGAAAACTTAACAGATGGAGACTTCAGAAAGGTACACCTTACACATGTTCATATAAGAATCATAACATTAACATCATTATTTTCACAGTAAAGTTAAACTATTGAAAAACTTATTGCAGAGTCATCCAAGGTTTCAAAATGCGGAGCAAAATAAGAGTGTGTTTGAGCGAGTGAATGAGATAGCAACAAGGAAAGGATGCACCCCTGCACAGCTGGCACTCGCGTGGGTGCATCACCAAGGAAGTGATGTGGTTCCAATACCTGGAACCACAAAGATTGAAAACTTCAACCAAAACATTGGAGCTTTGTCTGTAAAGCTAACGCCAGAGGAGATGGCTGAACTTGAATTGATTGCTTCGAGTGACATGGTTAAGGGTGAAAGGCATGCGTTCATGCAATTGACATGGATAAATTCGGAGACACCTCCTTTGTCGTCTTGGAAAGGTAATTGAGTAGTGCTATAAGAAAATATGTTGGACAATAAAGTGGGTTGAAGACTCTTTCCACTATTGATGGTGAACGAAAAAGTAGTGTTTTACTAAAATGTTTAGTTGCTTATAAATGAGTTAATGTATTTGCGAGTTTTGTAATTCATGATGTATTTTGTATCGGGATTGAACGTATTATGTAATATATATATATATATGGCATACTTTCCTTTTATTTTTGTAATATTGTTTGTATCGGGATTTATTGTATTAGGACAAGGCTTTTCGTTTGGATAGAGGCTATTAAAACACTTTCTCGAGGGAGTTTTTAACATAGCATGTAAATTTATAAGATTTTGGTACAAGCTTTTTCAATTGTTTTGATTTTCAACTAATTGTAATATAGTCGACTTATTCAAACAAACAATAAAATAATATAAATACAAAGTGTTGGGTCATTGTAAAACTCTAATTCCAAGAACGTCCTATGGAGTTTGAACTTGAATTGGTGGTTCAAAATCGGATAATTTTTTTGGTTTTGGTCATTGTAAAACTTGATTTTTTGTGAATTTGCTTCTCACAACCTGAAATTTTATATTCTTTTTTTTTTTTTTTTTCATTTTTTATATCTATTTTTAATTTCTTTTAATAACAATAACTTTATATTTTTTGGATTTACCTCTTTCTCACAAATCACAATTGCCTGTTTATCAAACCCTCGTCAGCCACCTATGTCGAGCTCATTGGAACTTTCAATTCGTCCATTCAGAGTCACTGATGCAGATGATTTCTTCTCATGGGCTACAGACAATAGAGTAACACAATATCTCCGATGGAACACCATGAAGGATAGAGAGGAAGCTCTTAAATACCTAAAGAAAGTCGTTATACCGCATCCATGGCGACGATCCATCTGTTTTGACGATAAATCAATCGGATACATCTCCATCAAGCCAGAATCGGGCGTAGATCGTCATAGAGCTCATATTTCATATGCAATCGGTGTCGATTTCTGGGGACGAGGGATAACTACGGCGACAATGAAGATGGCGATCCCTATGGTGTTTCAGGAGATGTCGTATGTGGTGAGGATTGCAGCTCTTGTTGAAGATGAAAACAAAGCATCACAGAAGGTATTGGGGAAATTAGGGTTTAAAAAGGAAGGTTATTTGAGGAAATATGGATTTAGGTTGTGTTTGGTAAGCTAAAAATAGCTTATAAGTTAACTTTGTGAAAAGCTACTTAGATTAGTTTTTTAGGAGATGTTTAAAAATTTCCAAATACATCCCTTAATTAATTATAGAAACACATACTTTCATATGTCCTTTTATGTAATTTTATATATTTCAGCTAGTTGTTCGGCTAGTTTTACCAAATGTTATTTTTTATCAGCTAGCTTTTCAGCTAACAACTAGCTTTTCAGCTAGTACGTCAAATATAGCCTTAACAAAGGGGAAATTAGAGATATGATCATGTATAGTTTTTTGTCAGGTGATTTATTAGATAAAATTTTTAGTGATTGAATATTAGGTTAATTCAAGGAATTATTTTGCTTTAGTTTATGCAAGTTAATCACAAAAATATCAAAATAAGTGGTTATTAAGAAACAAAAAGAACACAAGTATCGATTGTGTATATTGAATATGAACCTGAAAACCCACAAATCTTTGTGTGTGTGTGTTTGTATTGATTTGATTAGTAGGTTTGGTAATGGCTAGCAACTTAAGTCAACAATGAATCCCAACATAACGAACGTACAAGTAGTTAGGGGGGGGGGGGGGTTGGGTTCGTTCAAGCTTGAGACGTGGAGATTTTAAGAGGGAGAGAGACTTGTTCATTTTGTGGGTTCAAGCTTTTTTTTTTTTTGCCATTACCGAATCTCAATTTGAAATTACCAAACACCACTTAAGACATAAGGATTTGAGAAGTAGAAAATGTGATTGCTCTATTGCGATTGCTCTTATTAACCATTCAGACTTAGAGACTTAAGGAGAACATGGTATGGTACCATGTGTTTTTTTTTCAAATAATGTACATTACCAAATATACAGTTAGTACACAAATTGAGGTATCATGTATATATATATATATATATATATATATATATATATATATATATATATATATATATATATATATATCTTCCTATCTAATAAACAAAACCAACTGGACACGTGTCATTACAATCATCCATTTTTCGCCCTATGTTAAATTACTCTATTACCCCTTCATCATCCTTTCACGTATCATCATTAGGTAATAGATAAAATAGGTAATTAGGTATGGAATTGAATTAGATTATATTATATTATATATGGAATATATATGGAATATATGGAATATGGAATTTCACGTAGCATTACAAATTGAATATGGATGGAAATAATGATATTGTATAGAAATCTTTGGAATATTGAATCTGTTGTATACATTAAATCAATTCCGTTACATGCCCGATTAAGAGCATCTAAAAATGGTATGCATATCAATCAATTATTATTATTATGCGCATAACATACTATATCAATCATATTCCGCTTCAATTACATAATTCAATCCCTACAACCGTCTCTGCATCTCAATTCTGCTTCTTAATTTCGAATCTTGAATCAGCAACTTCAATCCTTCGGTGAGTTTCTCATGATTAACTATCATTGCTTTTCAATGTTTCTGTTAATCGTATAATTGAAATTTTTTTTCTTCTTCTGCGACTTCAATTTTGCTTCTCATTGAATTTGTTAATCAAGGTTTGTATTTATCTTTGATTCAGAAGTTGTTTATTAATTATTTTCGTCTGATTTATCAAACCGTTTATATAATAAACAAAAAAATATCAATTTCTTTTTGAAGTTCCTGTTACACTATATCCCATTTTTAGTAATTTATTCTCAAAGAACAATGCTATAATCTGTAATTTATCATCTTTTAGTTTAATTTTCTGGGCAAGGATGTATTCATTTTAAAATGGTATATTGGTGCATGCATTCTTGGGAATGTGCTTTGATATTATTTGAGGTATTCTATTAAAAAAGATTCTAATCAAGCTGTCAAATGAGATTTCTCATAATGTTGAACACGCAACAGAATAAACAATGCATCAGATGTCAATTTTGCCCTTTGTCAATTCTTTTGATGAGCTCTAAAATTTCAATCATTTAAATTCCATAAATTAAGACTACAATTTCATCATTTTATGACCCCCATTTGCGAAGTTGAGTATTTATTTCCAAAAATGCGAAACTCCAGGGACAATATTTGAAAATTTCTGTTTTCTTCCCCAATTCGCATTCTACTGTGAAATACTTCGCATCTTCATTCTTACACCCTTCGCATCCCTTCGCATTAATCACCTTCGCATTCTACTGTCAATTCTTTTGTATCTCTTTACAAATTCTGCAATTTCATCATTTTATGACCCCCATTTGCGAAGTTGAGTATTTATTTCCGAAAATGCGAAACTCCAGGGACAATATTTGAAAATTTCTGTTTTCTTCCCCAATTCGCATTCTACTGTGAAATACTTCGCATCTTCATTCTTACACCCTTCGCATCCCTTCGCATTAATCACCTTCACATTTTAACCTAATTAATCAAATGCGAACCACAAAATTTTCATTCCAGATGCGAACACAGTTTAGTTCTTGAACTCTAAACTTGCGAAATCAAAACTTTCTGTTTTATGGCTGTTTATAGCATTTAACTTTTATTTTCTGTCAATGTACTTTTCTGTTATAGTGACAATGGCAGAAACAAAGATCACTTTCATTAGAGACTTGGACAATATGAATGATGATTACACAGTAAAAGTGTCTATTATCCGGCTGTGGAAATCGCTTTCAGATGGCAACCCCACTATTGTCAGATCAATCGAGATGATACTCATGGATGAAATGGTAAAATCTACTATTTTCATAGCATTATTCAAAAACATTTTTTTTATTTGATCATTCCAATAATATTATTCAAACTCAATCATTGAAGATGTTATCTTCAATGTTGACCAATTTATATTTATTAAAAATTCCGTTTTTAACATTATATAATATTCTTACCATATGTGAATAGTCTACAAAAATCCGAGCAAGTGTGTATCCAAGAGATTTTCAAAGGTTTGAGTCCAGATTGAAAGAAGATCAAGCTGTTTACATCCGGTCCCCCACTATCGCTCCTAACAAATACACTTTTAAAATAAGTGATGTAACCTCCAAGTTAAATTTCCATAGAAGAACAACTGTTAACGAGTGTCTACACTTTCAATCCAAAACAAAATATGGATTTTCTTTTGTTTCTTTTGAAACAATTATCTCTGCAACAGCTACATCTAATGAATCAATTGGTAATTTCCCTCCTTATTGATTGTATATTATATTTAATTCTTTAAATTCACATCATTTTGACATTCTGTATTATCATTTTGTAGATATTATTGGTGAAGTTGTTTCATTAGGAAAGCTTGATTCCCGTGATGTCAGCAAATCTCTACATAGGCTGCCTTTACAAATAAGAAACTTAGAGTAACCAAAACTTTTTTTATATTATATCTTATATCTTATATCTTATATTCATTACTTTACAACTTGCATGTACA